CGAGGTGGCTGAGGACAATGGGTGGAAAACAAGACAGGCCAAGATGTGGGGGTCAGTGAGTGGGAGGGAGACAGGGGTTCCAGTAGAGAAGCGACTGTGGGCTCAGAGGCAATAATGGGGGTCAGTATGTACATGTGCACATGAGGGGTGTTTTTCAAAGACTGTCTGTTCTGTAGACCAGGGGTCTTGAACCCAAATCTCTACAGGGGCCGGGCCAGCAACTTAACTGAGCCAGAGTAGTTTGTCTTGCAGGAATATGAGTTTGATCGGGAGTGGGGGTAATGAGAACAGTTGTGTGTAAGTGGGCTTGTACGATGTTTTCGAAGACTTCTGTTATCTAGAACACGGTCTCAGGTCAGATGTACTGGGCCAAGGGATGACTGCAGAGCCAAGAGAGAAAAGTCCAGAGTATAAGAAAGTGCAATTGTTTAGAGAAACAGTTTGCTCAAGGAAAGACAGTTTTCCTGCAGTGAATCTCCAGAGGGGCGGCCCCAGGGACACAGGGTGTCTGGGTGGGGATGCCACGGCCCCCAGGCAATGGGGTATCTCTCATGTTGGCTCACAAAGTGCCCTCTCCTTGTCTTCTCCCTCCCTCTGACTGGGGAAAGCCTTGGGTGGGTGCTGACAGGTCTCCAGCACCCAATACCTGCTGATTCCTACATTTCAGTAAAAGTCAAAGGGACTTAAACAAATCTAATAGTAGGGATACCCACGAACCAGAATCATGACCGTCCGTGCAGCTGGGGAGGCACCACCGAGGTGGAAGGAGCCCTGGGCTGGACATTTTCTTCATGAGTACACCCCCTGCCCCTCGCTGCCCACCTGCGCCCCTGACAACAGCCCTGCCCTTCAGACGACCCCTCACTGAAATCAGGGGGTCCCTGTCACCATGGAGGGAAAGCTCTGGAAAAAGCTACTCTTGTTGTTTTGGTTTAGCTTTTTTTTTTAGATACCGTTTATTTTCCAGCCACAGGAAAAGATGTCATAGCATGCAGCGGGGACACTCGGGGGCTTCCCGAAGATACGAGTTTAGAAATCCTTACTCCAGGGGCATGTGGATGGCTCAGTCGGTTAAGCACCCGACTCTTGGTTTTGGCTCAGGTCATGATCTCAGTGTCCTGGGATTGAGCCTGGTGGCGGGCTCCATGCTTAGCGGGGAATCAGCTTGAGATTCTCTTTCTCTCTCTCTCACCCTGCACAGGTGCTCACTTTCTGTCTCTAAAAGTAAATAAATAAATCTTTGAAAGAAAGGAAGAAAGAAAGAAAAAGAAAGAAAGGGAAATCCTTCCTCCGCAGATGGGTGTGACTGGGTGACACAATTTGGGCCAATGAGTTGCAAGCAGAGTCTCAGTGGAATAGGACAGAATCTCTCTCCTTGTCCTTCATTTTCTCCCTTTGTTCCGCCTGGACCACAGATGCAATGGTGAAGAAGGGGCAGCCATCCCAATGCCATGAGACACCGATAAAACAAAGTCAGAGAAAATCAGGAAGATCTCCGTCTGACAGCCTTGTGCTGGACCAGCTGCTGCCACCCTGGGACTTCTCAACACTCGAGAGGAAGAAGATACCGAGCGTGCCGAAGCCACTACAGGGGGGTTTCTGTCAGCAGCTTCCAAGTGCAAGTCCTGCATGATACACTCCATGGGGGGTGAGGCTGGCGGCCAAGGCTCTAGGACAGACTGTTCCAGGCTTTTGCTGCACCCTCAGGAACATCCTTTTGGAAATGCTGTTCCTCCTCGAGTCAGATAAAGAATGTCCCAGTTTCCTAGAGGCCCATGAGATGTTGGATTGGCTCCACGTCCCTCTCTGTCATCAGCATGCTCCGAACCCTGCCTGGGAAGGTCTGAAATGACAGCCTGAACTTAACCACATTCCCTGCCAACCACATCTCATCCCAGCAGGAGGACAAACACTGGTGGCAAGTGTGGCCTGTGTACTGGGGTAAAGGAAAAAGAATCTGCCTCTTGCTCAAACCCTCAACAAAACTAGCCCTTAATCAGATTATTATGTCACACATGTACCCACAGGGGGCTGGTTGGGTGAATTATGACAGCCATATAACAGAACCCTGTTCATTTAAAATGATGCCAGCAAATACGTAATGCATCCCAAAAGGTTCACGAGACACGGAGTGGGGGCAGGCCTACAAACAGCCACACAGAACGTGGACCAGACTTTGGGTGGACGCGAGACACGACGACCAAGGGCCTGGAAGACAGCTGCCTCCCAAGTGTAGCAGGTACTCTCCCAGAGCGGTGGGACAATGAGTGATGCCTTCTTTTTAATGTTTGTCTCCACATTTTCTTGCCTCAATAAAAGAAGAAACAAGGACGGTAAAGAAACCCCTCTGCATCTCCACTTTGCTCAGCGGATCTGATTTCAGCTGTAAAAGGGTCAGCTGAGTCCTTGGCAAATTTTATTTTCCACTATTATCTGAATAGTATTGGCTAAATATACTTTTAAGAGCAGCATTCTTAGGGTGGCACATGCCTCACCTCCCTTTTGCTCGTTTCGGGTTTTTTGAAAATCTGCTTTTACGGAGGCTTTTTGTTCTGACGCGCTCAGTACAAACACATTTGAGGCGGCTGCTCTGTCCTCAGCCCGACCGGCTCCCCGCAAGCCGCCTCAATACAGAGGCTGTTACCCCTTCAGCTCGCACCATCAGGGAAGCATTTACAGAGCGCAGATGTTTGCCTTCCATGGAGGGTCCCCAGAAAGTCCTCAGGAATCTCACCATCTCCTTGCAGGGAAGAAAACTAACAGCCAGGGAGGAATACAAAGAGCTGGGGGCAAAACTGAATGACTGTCACAACCAGTAGGGTCCTTTCGGCAAGTTCCAGAACGATCTACAACAATGACAGTGCATCTCAAATAAATCAGACTCTCCTTTAACGACACTGGCAGCCCTGTGCCTATTTTTAAAAGTTTACGACCCTGGATTTGTGAGTACAACTAGCAGGGCGCAGCCCAGAGCTGTGCAGGGCAAAGCATTTTTCAGTTTCCATCTCACTCCCGAGCGGCAATCCATCATGATAAGAAGGGGCAGGGAGGGAAGGAGCCAGGCTCCCCGCGGCCTCCCGGCTGGTGAAGCTACTAAAGTGGCAGGCACCGCGAGCCCAATCCATTAACCAAAAAAGGGCGCCGCGGCCAGAGCTATTTCTAGGTCTGGGCAGGCAGGGCTCAGGGAGGCTGTGGATCCCGTGCGGGAGGTTTTGCTGGCGACCCTCTACGCAGACTGAACTTCTTCCTCGGACACCAAGATCTGGCCCAGAGCAACACAACTAGGTACAAGAACTGCCTTACTGGATCTCCTCTATATTCATGTCCTGGACTGCTGTTACCGAACATCACGAGGTGGTGGCTTTAAACAACAGAAATGTACGCTCTCTCACTTCTGGGGGCCAGAGTCTGAGATCAAGGTGCCATCAGGGTCCCCACACTCCCTTCAAAGGATCCGGGGGAGGGTCCTTCCTAGGCTCTTCCAGCTCCTGGGGGCTCCAGGCGCCCCCTGGGCGTGGCCACGTCCTCAAGTCTCTGCCTCCGTCCTCACCCTCCCCGTGCGTCTCTCCTTTGTGTGTCTCTTACAAGGACAGTTATCACGGATTCAGGGACCGTTTGGATAAGCCAGGATGATCTCATTTTGAGGTCCTTAGCTTAGTTACATCTGCAAGGAGCCTTCTTCTGTAAGGCCACATTCACAGAATCTGGGGTCAGGATGTGGGCATGTCTTTTGGGGAGCTACGAGTCAACCCACTACACCTGAGCGGGTATTCACACCTTCCCAGGAAGGGAACCTGGTTCTCCCAAGTTCAGCCATCTGTCCACAGCCAGGTGGCCTTACCCAGGGATCAGCAGAGCAACCCCTGCCAGGTCCTGACGCTCACCAATATGAATCAGTCAGTAGGCCAGTTACATGCAGGGATGCTGATGTCAGCCTTGGGTCTGAATCCTGGCTCCACCGTATCTACTGGACAACTCTGGTCTCAGTTTCCTCATCCATAAAGTGGGAATAACCAGAGTCCCTGTCCCCAAGGCTGCTGTGAGAATCAAGAGCAGCCCTTCCTAATGGACAGGGCAGCACCTGCTCGATCGATGTGGCCTCGGACTATGTTCCCCAACCCCGTGTTCTAGGTTCTTAGCCTGGTAACATCGATTCCATCTGGGAGGCTCAGCGTTGCTCCTTGCCGCATCAAAGACGATTAATGCCCCAAAGCAACACTTCCCAAAGGGCTTATAAGGTGCAGTTTCACACCCGCTGAGCAGTGACCGCAACTGTCTGCTGGGAGGCAGCATCAGACCCCGCAGCGGGGGTGGGGAGGCTCAGTCCCACAAGGCCGCCCCTCCCTGACTCCGGGGGCCAGCTGCGTGTCCAGCTTGTCACCTGTGCTTCTGGCTGAGTGCCTACAGGTAGGTCAGAGGTTCCGGGGACCCCCGTCCGCAGGCTGGATCAATGTGCTAGAGCGGCTCGCAGAACTCGAGAGAAATACTCGCCAGGACGGGATGTGGCTCAGCAACAGCCGGATGGGAGAGGTGCGCCCGGCGAGGTGCGCGCGGAGGCACACGACGCTTCCATGCGCGTCAGGGGCACCACCCCGCGGCACCCCCACCAGAAGCGCCGAGACCCGCGGCAGAGAGCAAGGTGCAGTCACTCGGGCCCGGCAGTGACCGAGGCAGGCAAGGGCGTTCACGGCAACCGAGGCCAGATACCCCGAAGCAGCACAGGCGGGGGCACCAGAACTGGAGGCCGGCAGAACCCAGGGCTGACGGCCACGAACCAGAGGAGGCGTGCGAGGGCCGGGGCCGACTGGGCTCTCGGGAGGGCGGGCGCCCCAGACGCTGAGCCTCGCACGTGTGAGGCCTCAGCGGGACAGCCGCACGAAGCCTGCGCCCTCTCGTCTCGAACGCAGCGCGCAGCCCGCGAAGCCCCCCCGGGCCCGGCCGGGCCCCCTCCCAGCCGCGCGCTCACGGGCGGCGCCGACTTCGGCTGCTCCGCCTCTTACCTCGGCGGGCTCTCGAGCAGTCGCTTTGCCTCGCGCTGGGCTCCGCGGGCCGTGGGCGAGGCCACGTGACACGCGTAGCGGACCGTCACCGCGCCCGGAATCCCGAGCCGGCCCTGCGACTACGGCAGCCCCGCTCGCAGGCCGCGGAAAGCTGCGGCTGCGGGAAGGCGCGACGCGTGCGGGCGCCCCCGCAGCGCGCCCGCGACGCCGCCCGGCCGACGTTCCGGAAGGCCGCGCTACGTCGGCGCGCGCGCTTACGTCACTGCGCCGGAGCCCGAACGCCCGGAAGTCGGGGCTGAGACTGAAGAGCCGTCCCTCTGAGGCGGGGTGGGCTCCGGGCCGCCGGCCCCACCCGTAGGTGGCCCAAAGTCACCTCGGCACAACCCCAGACACCCCGACTGCTCCCCTACTTGGGAAATCCCAAAGGTCGGAGGAGCCCCGCTCCAGGCATAAATCCCCTATGTCTACTCCACATCGCAGTGTCGCCCGACTGAAACCCACAGAGCCCTTTATCCGCATGTCTTTCCGGAAAACCCAACCTGTGCAGCAGAAGGAAGCTGGCGGGGGGGGGGGGGGGGGGGGGGGGGGCGGAGGCCGGGACCGAGCCCGGCCCGGAAGCGGCCCCTCCACGGCGCCGCTGCACCCAAGTGCACCCAAGTGCCTTTGGTCCGCGGCGGGGGAGGCGGATCACAGTTTATGCTGCCAGCCAACAGCAAGCAGGCCTGTTTCCACGCCCCGCTGTCCCTCAAATATTCCAAACCTGCATTTAAGGCCCACCTGCGCGCACACCCATCAGGCAGAGCACAACAAAGAAGGAACTGGACAGACATGAAGAATTTCACATATTTTTGAAAATAAAAACAACGCATGTTGATTGTAGAAAATCTGGAACACATACACAAGCACCTGAACCAAAGTAAAAATCACATATAGCAATGATCTTTCTGTTGTCTTTATTCACCTTTACTAAACTGAGCACATCAGCAAAGTCAAAGACAGTCATGGCTAACACCTGGATTCGTCCCAGGTGGGTTTTCTTTTTCCCCAGGCTAATAAATAAAGTCCTTAATTTAAAAATCTTAACACGTGCACTGCCTTGTAACTTATTTTTCCTTGCACGTTTGTCCTATATTTTACAAATGTTTCTTATATCTTTACATATTTTTTAAAGATTTATTTATTTTAGAGTTGGGGGGAGGGAGTATGCACACATGGGTGGAGGAGCAGAGGGAGAGGGAGTGTCCCCAGCAGACTCCATGCTGAGTGTGGAGCCCGACGTAGGGCTCGATCCCAGGACCCCAGATCACGACCTGAGCTGACAACAAGAGTAGGGCACTTAGCCGACTGTGCCACCCAGGCACCCCAATCTTTAAATATTTTTTAAGAACACAGTTTAAGGGGCGCCTGGCTGGCTCAGTCTTTTGAGCATCTGACTCTTGATCTCCGCTCAGGTCTTGATCTCAGGGTCGTGAGTTCAAGCCCCGCATTGGGCTCCATGCTGGGCATGGAGCCTACTTAAAAAAAAAAACAAAAACAGAAAACAACAACAACAACAACAAAAACACGTTTTAAAGGGCACGGCCCATCATCTGTTTACTCAATTCCCAGTTACTAGTTATTTCTGAAACTGCCAGTTTTTTTCCAGAATATATATGTGATGCTGTGTTGAATATATATTTGCTATACATATATATCTGCATCAGCATCTCTACGTGTTTGATTTGAATCAACCACCACCAATATAGAGACTGACTTAGAAGGTGTGACCTTTTATGGCCTTCCACGTCCGTTGTCAACTTGCCTTCCATAAAGCTTGTACCAGCCTACAATCTCACCAGCACATGCGAGAAGAGTGCTTTTCTGAAGTCTCATAATTAATGTTGCAATTTTTTAAAAACCTCTTTGAGACAGGGGCAGGCCGAGGAGCCAGGGCATCTGCGGAGGTTCGTCTCCTTAAGTCGCTAGGGCGCATGCGCATTTCCCCGCGGGCCAGCCGCCTGTTTCCTGTCTTGTGCTCGAAAATTCCCATTACCTTGTGCCTGCTGGGATAATTGCCTTGATCTTTCTGATTTACAAATATCACTTGCATATTAAGAAACGCACTTCATAGTAGCCTTTCATTAGAACTGATCTCTTCTTCTAGAGGCCAATTACAAAGTCAGACTGTCTTTGTAGGCATTGCTAACATTTTCCCCGATTTGTTGATAGCTTCCTCATTTAGTAATGGGTTAAAAAAGATTTTACAAGGTCAAATGCATTAATCTTTCTCTTTATGATTTCTTTCTCTCCCTATAAACTTAGAAAGGTAGGAACTGCAATTTTCCTCCAACTCGTGTGGGAAAAATTAGTAAATATTGAGAGTGGGCAAAGCCACCTTGATCCAGGAACGAGAGAATGGACCGAGATCACACGGTAACAGTCTGTTCTAGATAAAGTTCGACCTGGCTTTTAGACCCCACTGGGTCGAATGTGTTTTGTTTTTCTAGCACATTTCTTTGCCTGGATAATGAGTACATTTACATGATGCCTTCTCAGAGGTGCCTGACCGGCAGCTGAAGCTGTGGTTCGAATGTAATCAGAGGTCTCTTTCCTTCCCCCACAATCAGGGCCTCTTTGTCCGCAGTCCACACTGAGGGTTCCAGAACTCAGTCCCAGAGGCCAATGAAGGAAAGAAGCATTTTGCTGCTCAGACACAGAAAGCACTTTTCCAGGACTGTGGGCCGGGGAGAAAGACCACCTGCGAGGTGGGTGCCCGCTGCCCCCCACCAGGGTACCAGACATCCTGATGACCCCATGCCCAGGAGTCTGTGTCTCATAGCACCCCCCGGAGCCTCCATCACTGGCGGGCATGGGCATGAGAACCCCCTTTCTAGGCCAAAAGCTTTATTCTACAACTGAGGGGACAAAGCTGGGGGGCGGGGGTGGGGCGGGAAGCACTTTAAGGTTCAGAGCCAGAGCAGGAGCCAAATCCAGTTTCTAATCCCAGACACAGGCCCCCCAGGCCCCAGCCAGTGTGTGAGCCCCAGTGTAGCTGCCTCCACGCCCCCACCCCCCGGTACTTTGCTACAGAGCTCCTTGGATTTCCCAACTCTTCATCCCTAGGCGCGGCCAGAATCACAAGGGTGGCTGGTGGTATCCAAGTTTCCTGTGTCACCATTAATGGAGCGGGGGGGGGGGGGGGGGGCGCGCATAAGACCGCAGAAACTTACGTGCCCACAGCTCTGGAGGCCAGAGTGTGAAATCAAGGTGTCAGCAGGGCCGTGCTTTCTCCGAAGGCTCCAGGGAGACTCCTACCCTGCCTCTTCCGGCCTCGGGCTGTCGCTGGCCATCCTCGGCATGCTGTCCTCGGGCGGTTGCCGGCGATCCTCGGCGTGCAGTCCTTGCAGCTGCACCTGACCCAGTGTGTGTGTGCCTCTGTGTCCCCTCGCACAAAGGTGATAGTCGTATTGGATCTGGGGCCCTCCCTACTCCAGGATGACCTCATTTTAACTTGATTACACCTGCAAGGGCCCTCCTGCCAAATAAGGCCACATTGTGGGGTTGCGGGAGGTACATGAATCTTGTGGGTACACTGCCCCCCCCATTGCACGTGGTCAGAGAAAAGCCTAATGGGGGAGAGGGCAGCCTGAGGAAGCCCCCTACATGGAGGGCACTGTCAGCATCCCTGCAGGGGCCCTGGACAACCCTCGTGCTTATGCCCACACAAACCCCTGAGCTAGAATTTCTGGGCGTGGGCCCAGCGTCTGGGTTTTAAAAGTGCTTCCTTGGAGATTCTGAGGCAGAGTTGCAATCCCCCTTCTGTAATGAGGACTTGTCACTGGGGACAGCTATCGAGCCAGAAGTTACCTTTCTCAGCCCCCTGCATCTAAGGTGGGCCTGGGACACGTCCTCATAGTGGCACGGAAGTCACTGCCTCGTCCAGGTGGCTCAGAAGTGGGTGTGCCTTTCCCCAGGCACCAGCTGGACGAGGAGGGCCACAGAGGCAAGAAGGTGGCATGGCCACGTGGTGAAGCGTCCTGGGTCCCTGAATGACCTCACGGGGGTGAACAGTGACCCAGCCACACCCCCTGCAGGCCCAGAAATGACTTTTCGCTGCCCTGCTGTGTGGGGGGACGGCTGTCACATAGCTATTGTAGGGTCCCAGCTGAGAGCCACTGGACTGAAGAGACAAGGACCGACCCTGCTTCTGTGCTCCTGCATCCTCTTCCTATCACCTTCAGATGACCTCAAATTTGAATATGTGACTAATGTTTCATATCTTTAACAAAATAGAAGTCAAAAGCATTTTCCACCAGCCTTAAATAGGGACCTACTCCTTAAAGTTCTCCTAGAATTGAATAACAGGAAGACGCTGATGATCCTGAATAATTTCCATTTTCTCTTGGCTGCCAGGAAGTTCAGAGTAAAATTTTATGTTTAATTACAGCACCTAACTCATTCCAGATTCCTGGAAATCGGTCCTTCTGCTTCTAAATGATTTCTGCTCAGCCTTCAACAGTGCACTCTCATGGTTTATGTGTGTTTTAAGATTGTATGTGAGCTCGAATCTCTTTTTACATTTGGAGGCTGATAAATAATAAAGGCATACAAATGCACCTGGGTGCAAACACACATTCACAGCATGCTGACCACGGGGCCAGTGGAATCACGTCAAATATGGAGGATGCCGTATTAAATTTAGCTCACTAATTCACGTAACAAGCAGGTTCTGACCTCCTGCCAAGGACTGGGCAATGGGCCAGGCACCCAGGAAGAAGAGGCAGATCTGCAGGAGGCTTTTTGCCATCAGGGAACTCATGGCCTCATGGGGGAGACAGGGGTGCTCACAAATAATCATAATATCAGGCCAAAATAACGATAAAAACTGCCATGTAACAAAGAACAAGTAAATGTGAGTGTGCAGAGAAGAGAATCAGCAGTTGGGGCTGGAGGGATCAGGGAAGGTGTCACAGAGCCCAGGCATCTAATCTGGCTTTAATGAGATTTACATAGAACACTGGCAAGTGGAGTGGGGGACTGTTTAGAGCAGAGAGAGCAAGGAACACACGTGGCATGTGGAGGGATCTTTTTGTATTTCATTCCTCTCTCTCCAGGTCCCTCAACCCTGTGCAGGGTTTTAACCAGTGATCTATTATTATTATTATTATTTGTTTTCTACTTAATGCACAAAGTTACTTAAAATAGTCACCATGTCCTGGCATTACATTCTGAGTT